AAAAAAAATCCAAGAAAGAGTCTATTACTTCACTACACTCATAAAGGAGACTCATAAAGAGGAAGAATATAACTCTAACATGACTGCCTCACATAATCTCACAAACCATATAGGCTTACAAAGATAAAAGAGAAAAATGCTGCCCTAACTTTCTTCTGACTACCACACTCTCACACCACTCACAAAACAAACAGAGTACGTCACAAAACTCAACCCACTATGCATGTAAACATATTACACAAAGTAATAAATCACTATAATTCATGCAATTACACACATCAAACATATTGAAAGTGTAACATACCAACACATGAGAATTAAGCAATTAAATGCATGCAGAAAGGATTACACATAGTTACAATGCAAGAACCAGGTTTATTCTTTCAATAAAACCTCACTAGGATCACTACTCGACCCTAAAGTCACATTCGCATCATCTCTATCCTCATCTTTCATTTTATTATCATCTTAGGACAATCTCTTTCAACTATGTTTACCACAGTTAAAACATATTTTATTTTTCGCAGTTGCCTTAGACCTATACGTGCCAACTATACCAAATAATAACCACAAGCAAAGTACTGACACATAATTCACACAGATTAATCAAGTAAACTTCCCTAAGGTCACATGCAATTCCAACGGTGTAGAAAAATTGGTAACAAATTCACAGATAATTGAAGGCAACTAATTAACATGTAATTCTTAGGTCTAACAACAGGTAATGTTTACCCCTTCACGGTAACACCAAACCTAACATCACATCACACAATGACTTCTAATGCGAAAAATAAATAATTAACCTACACATTAAGTTTAACTGCAATAATAAAAGGCAAAGAATATAATACTGAGCGGACCACGTTTGAAGGTCTGTAAATATCGAGAGACGTGAATTCACCAATTTAGGATTATCAATATATATCCTAAAATCACCAGTAATCACAGCAACACGAAAACAGCACCCGACACCCAAACGTTCAAGGCAAAATCGTCCAACTTTCACTGCATTGCTCATAACTGAAATCTGACAATACCGCAAGGTCCGTATCATCACCAGCAACATTCTGTCTGAAGACACCATCACCGAATTTCGTCTGACGCGCCCCCATGCGCCTCGTCAGTATTCCTACGCGCCTACGACGCCTCGACCTTTCTGAACCATCTCCACCTGCACAGTCCAATGATGGTGTTCGTTTCTCAAAATGGCAAGTAGTTTGGTTGGAAAACACCAAAACAGATCCGTCCAGCTTTCGAAAAATCTACCAAAATTCTGCCTATTTTCCAACTCGATTTGAGGCCACTTCCAACCAGTTTTTCGCCCAAAATCACAGATTTATCAACAATACAAGCTTTGATACCATTTGTCGCGAAAATCCCTCGATAAATCTTGATTCCAGACTTTCGCCTTCACGTTTGGACTGCCCTCTTTCTCTCAAACCCCACAAAGAAGAAGGGTGGTGATGTTAGCAATCCACAAAGATATGGAAAAGAAGAAGAAGATATTACAATGGTTGAATCTCGCTCACAACCTCACATGGCTTCCCTCTCTCTCGGCTGCTTCTCTTCTCTCAACTCTCCTCTTCATTGCTACAACACACACTCCAAAACGGCTGGAAGATAGATACATATATATAAGTTAGTTTAGATCACCAAATATGGGCCAAGAGATCTCTAAGTATAACCTAAACTAATGAGCCAATATTCAACTCCATATTAATCACTAAATGGTCAAACTAACCAAATAATCATCTAACCCAAACCCGTGCCATCCAAAAGTGTAGTTCGTCTCCGAGCCGAGCCGAGCCGAGCCAAGTCCATGGTGTTGATAAATAATCCGACAACTGTTTTAAATCATCGCTCGGGATTATTGGGTATCAAAAAACCCATCACTATGTAAATGAATTTTCCAGCAGAGAAGCTTGCCTCTGAGATAATTTGAGAACCCTTAATATGAGAAGTCCTACATATACACATAATCATGTAAAAATTCGCTCAATTGTCCAAAATTTATTAATATTAAGAACATGAATAATCATGTCAAATACATTTATCAATAGTTTTCTCTAGGGGCGTTGGAAATGGGTTATGGGTCATTGGACCGAAGACCGACAAATCAATTTTGGTTTTATATTTTTCTTTATTTGTTTCAAAGGTACATGAAACAATAACAACTGTTACCTATAATAATAGTAAATATCACAAACTTTTATATAAAAAAGTCAAATAATATAAAGTATGAATGAAGCACTATTTAATAACTCAAAACATAAACTTATAATGAAAATGGACAGGAGAAAGCTAGAGAAAAAGAGGTGGAGATCACAATAAATTTTTTGAAATAATGTAGAAGATAGACATGATACGGCTTGTTTGGTGAAAACATGTTTTCTAAACTTGTTGCAAGTTTGAGTAAGAGATACACAATTAATATATAAAATTGTTGCAGTTCAAATGCTAACCTCATGTCACCGGTCAACTTTTTACCAGGTTAATGCAGTTGTCGTTAATCAATGTTTTGTTCAGTTCATTTAGAGAATCAAGTAGATTAACTGATCGATTAATCAACCAATTCAAACCAGGGTTAACAATAATGAATGAGAGGTGTATGTTTTCTATAATGAAAATAATTAATTACATTAATTCCAGAGTTCAATATTATTAAAAGTTGTTATTAGTGGGCAATTATTAAATGGTAAAATGTTATTATAATGATTCATATAAACGACTTAGCTGTAATAGACATTACTCATAATAATTTACCTGGATTTGTTAACCCAGGTTCAATTTTTACCCACTTCCAACAACCACAAGCCGACGACAATGACCCAAGACATTGCCAAGCTTCCACTTCCAATTGTCAATGAGATATTTCACCTAGGAGACCACAAAGGTGCAAGAAATCTCATACAATATCATCACTAGGTAGTAGTCACAATTGACAACAAATTGACTGACATTTTCAAAATGAAGTTAGACACTTTGTTTTTTTATATCATATTGTTGCGTCTTCGAGCGTGTGAGTATCTCGAGTTGGTCACAGCAATACAAACTTCCAAGTAAAGACAGTATTCCACTTGATAAGAAAATGTTAATTTATTTTAGCTTAAGAAGCATTGAATAATTAACTTTTCTTGCTTGACAAAATAAACTATGCTAGTTTTGTGTGGGTAATGAACCTCTGTTTGAGATAAGAGTGAAATTATTGATATATCATTATCTCGGGACTGAAAATTTGTGAATATTTGGAACATATAGTTAACAAGATATGAATCTATAACTTTCACAAGAGAGTTGAATATCCCTTTTAATTAAGAATTTTTATAATTGGATAAATCTTAGCACTCAAGAATTTAGTGAAGAATTTACTACATTATAATATTTTGTGATAGATCACAAATTGATTATTTCATTAATGGAAAAAGTTACTCGATGTTAAAGATGTGAGTGGAGGGTTAAAATGTGTTAGGTCACAATAGTGGACTAACATAAAAATAAACCAAATGGAAATTTTAGTAATTTTGCAAGACTTGAAGGCCACCTTTGCAAATTATGAATACATGAACCAACCTTCTTGCTTTTTCATATTCGTTTTAGTAGATTCAATCTCAAACTCTAAGCCAAGCTAATCAGTTAGCTAGATTGAGAAGTAGAAAATAGAAAATAGAGAAGTCATCAAAGCTTAATATTTTAGTGGTCCATGGTCTAATCGACTTGATGTCGAACAAAAGATTCAGAACCATTGACTTTCAAATTCATAAGTTTAAATCAAGATGCATTTGTTTTGTTGAGAGATATAACCTTCTAAACATTGACAAAATTTGGTGGAATACTTCTTTGTTGAATTTAATTCAGTATCTCCAAGAATTCATCATTGAAATTTTTGTAGCTGTTGGATGCCTATACGTATGCCTGGGCAAGATCTTTTGTTATTGTGTTAGAGAGATTCCATCTTTGATAGATGATTTATTGTTGGCGTGCCAAGATTTTATGTTCTTGATAGTATTAATTAAAGAGAACATTGTATTCCCATGGTTCACTTTTTTCCTTTGGTTGACAAAGGTTTTTTCCATGTAAAATAAATCTTGTGTTGATTCCATTTGTTATCACTATGCAATAACATGTTTAGATAGAGTTTACTAGATGCTTGAGAGAGAGAGAGAGAGAGAGAGAGAGAGAGAGAGAGAGAGAGAGAGAGAGAGAGAGAGAGAGATTTTCACTCTTATTTAGTATCAAATATGACTCACCCAAACTTGAGCACCCCGATTCACTTATAAACCAAGACCATATCAATATCGAGCCGACTTGAAATTTTTATTGCTACTTTCCAAACAGATAAAATTAATACTATAGGCTCAAAACAACATCGTATCCTGCCACACTAACAACGTCTCATTATCGAACTGATATGGAATTTTCAAATAAGAAGACCTTTTCCAAGCATAAAATTAGAAACATACAACTGACTACCACCAGATTTTAACTCGTGAAAATACATCTCAAGTTCAACAAGGAAGAGGAAAACTTTCACTAAACTACATCACTCATTAGATGGCAATCTCACATAAATGAACGATTGTAATCGTACAAAATTGAAGACTAATGTATTGTGCAAATGTATTTAAATTTCAAGTAGATTGGAACACGATTAACTGAGTACCGAGGTTTGATCAAATTGTGCCAATTGTGATTTTGGTTCTCTAGTTTTGCTAGTTGTGCTTTATTTATGGCTGATTTTGAACTCCAAAGCACTCTTACCAAATGGAAGACAAATAAAGTTATGGTTCTTAAATTATGTTAGCCTAAATTACCTATGTAACCCTTCACGTCTTGCAAAATATCAAAAGTACCATTCATTATAAATTATTATTTCCCACTAATACTTTGTATCCCAACAAATAAACAATTTTCATTAAACTCCATGCCAACCAAACAAAAGTTGTATTGAATGCAGAGATTAAACTAATCTGTCTCTCCCTGTTATGACTCAGCATTTCAACTTATGCTAATCTCCCTGCCAACTTATCTAGCTGCACAAAAGAAAAAGGAAATCACAACTATCTATTTCTCCATTTTTTCCAACAAGAATGAGTAAAAAAAGGGAGATATCGAAACTGAGGAAGTCAAACAAGAAGAGTAGAAGTCAGCCAAGTGATCTAGCTGTTCTGTTTATCGGCTTCTCTTGCCCTGGCTTGTTCATCCCGCACCTCTGTCTCGAATAGCCTATCCCCCATATTCTCATTTGTCACTGCAATCGACTGTTGGCAAAAAAGCCTAGAACCTCCCGCACCTTAGAAAATGATGTGAGTATGTGTTGAGCACCTTCAAGAGGCTTTCTATTTTTAAATAGAATATTTTATAATTTATAAAGCATCTATAAATTTAGAGAATAAAAATTTTAAGTACTCCAACAGACTTTTGATCTTTTAACTTCTAATTTTACTACTTCAAAAATATATGAGCTTTGACTTATACTGTGTACATCAGTAGAACGTAGACTCTTGGAAAAAATCGAGTGTACAAACAGATTTTTGACAGAATTTTTACAGACCTGATTAGCAGATTTCTTTTTTTTCTTTTTCAACTGCAAATGAAAACTTGACAAGTATAAATCTGTTAAGATTCTATCAAAAAGAATCTGTACTCTTATAAACGGTCACTTCAAAATCTTCATTGTCATAATCCCATTGTTCTTCACGAACAGGGAAAGCTGAACTTTAGACATTTTTGCGCAATAATATACCTTTGCGCAATAATATACCTCAATCTCGTGTAGTGTTTAAATATAGCTAAATTCATAAGGAATCTTCTCTAGTTTTTTGCAAAATCTCAACACCAGTCGTTCAAGAACATGGAAATGATCATTTAAGGAATCTCATTGTCCAAGATCTGACACAATAATTCAAGGAATTTTAGCTTTTGGAGCTCATTATCCTGTGTTCCAGATTTTCCCTCAAAGACGTCCAACTCTAATTTCAGAATCTTAAGTGTGGCGCCTTAATGTTGTCCCAACAATCAAAATATTAGCGTGGAGAATGTTCTACAATGCGCTAACCACTAAATGCAATATCCGAAGGAGGATAGCATGCATGCCTCATTTCTTTGTTTGAAAGCAAGGGCAGTATGGAATGAGTTAGATGGGTGGGAAACCATCAAGGGCTGTTTGACTCCACTGACAATGGTGAGATGAGCTTAGACCATAATATAGATCCAATCACTTGTCAAACTAACCATAATGTAGTACAATTTGCAACCGGATCATTATTTATTTTACTTACAATAAAGAAGTCATAACTTCATGCTAACTACAAAGAAAAACAACTAACAATTGACATGGAGCCCGAAATTATTTTCTAATCATGAGGTGTGGGATGTAAAGGAATCTGTAGCAAGGAAATTTAAAAAATTTAAAAATCAATAATAAAAATGTTTATTTCAGGAACAAAAAAAATGATGGAATGAGCTTTGACTTACACAGTGTACACCAGTAGAACGAAGTTGTCTTTACGGCCAATCGCTATGGATGGTCACATCAAACTCTGTATTACCATAATCCAGTTGTTCTTGACGAATTTCCAGAGCTGAATTTTCAACATTTTCACCACAATAAGATAACTCAATCCTCTTTAGTGTTGAAATGTAACTAAATTCAAAAGGAATCTTCTCTAGTTTTTTGCAATATCTCAACACCAGTCGTTCAAGTACAGGAAAATGATCATTTGACGAATCCCACTGTTCAAGTTGTACAAAATATAATTGAAGGAATTTGAGTTTCCGGAACTCTTTATCCTTCGTATCCCAATTTTTGCTGAAAAGGCGTAGTCTAATTTCAGATTCTCGAGGTTGGGCAATGTCCCAATTAATGACATATCTTCCCAAGACAAACCAAGGTTAATAAGAGTAAGCTTTTTGATATTCATAGGAATTTTAAACATCGAGTAATCACATCCTAACAGTGTTCCTGCAATTGTGAGTGTTTGAAGCTGAGAAAGAAAGTTGAGATCAGGAAAGTAATTGTCTATTGATATGTATTTAAGCATACGAAGATTAGGTGAACATTTCAAGATTTCTTCGTCTTCCAAATCGACAATCTGAACGAGACCAGGGGTTTGTAGGCAATTTATTCGGAAGCTATCACTGTTCTTAGTGAATCTTGCACCACCATAGTAGCCACCTTTATAGTAGATACCGACCCTTAAATGTCTCAACTTAGGCATATTGAGAAGGTATGTCGGTACTTCATTTATGTCATGCAAACAAAGATATTCAAGGTTATGGAGTTTGCCTATTGATGGCTCTAATTTTGAAAAATCCAAGTATCTTATGTCAGGCACAAATCTGATTCCCCGTAGAACATTTCTATCACTGTTTAAATCAAAGATCCTATTTTTTTCCAAATTATAAGCAATGGAGAAGGCCTCGAAAATATTCTCGGATATCAAGACGCGATGAAACTGACCCATATACAAGTGATGGAGACGGCAATGGTTAGATACCAAGAATTGACTAGAGATGTAGAATGAGGATCATCATCAGTTTAACCACATCAACCAGCATCAGCAATAGCAGCATCATTGACATAATTACAACAAATTAGTAAGGATAAATTGGAAACTAAAGTAAAACAAGAAGGAATAAGACAGAGAGAGAGTTAACTTACTGTTGAAATAGAAAATTTTCATCTTCTACAACCATTTTGCTGCACATATCGAGAACTAGATCATGAAGAGTACATCCTTTTACTCCATCGTCAGATCTTCTTTTGGACACTTGAAGTAGGCTCCTGTTAACAAGTTCCATTAAATACTCCTCTGCTACATCTTCTAAGGTCTTTTGCTCCCTTTTCTCTATGAATCCTTCGACTATCCATAGTAATAATAGTTTCCGAACTGGAATTTCCTCGTCTTCCTGGAATGCACTAAGATAAAGGAAACATGGCTTCAAGTGATCTGGTAAATGGATGTAGCTAAGTTTCAATGTGGGAATGTAGTCGTCAGCTTTTTGGGAAATGTAAGAACTTAAACTTTTAGCAACTTGTTGCCATAAGCTTTCTTTTTTCTCCATATTTGAAAGAATTCCAGCTATCAAAACTACTAAAAGTGGTAATCCCTTACAATTTGCTGCAATTTGCTTTCCAATATCTTGCAGCTCTTGAGGACAACATTCTTTTTTGAACACCTTCTGCTCTAATAATTTCCAACTTTCGTCTGGTGACAGGGGAGAAGGTTCAATGATAACATGAGAAATTTCCGATGCCACATTTTTCAGCCGACTGGTAAACATTACTCTGCTTCCATTGCTATCATCTGGAAATAACCTTTTCAAATCATCCCATGCTTCTTTCTCCCATAGATCATCCACAACAATGAGGTATCTTCTACCCTTTAAACTTCTGTAAAGAAGTTCGGCCAACTCTTCTTCATCTTTTATTTCTGAAATGTCGTCTCTGTTAAGATCACTTACAGAACTCAAAATATCAGTCAACAGCTTTCTCTTTTTATAAGTTTGAGAAACAACACACCAAGAAAGCTTATAAAAATGGTACCGAACATGGGAATGATTGTATATTTTCTTTGCTGAGGTTGTCTTGCCAAGTCCACCCATTCCAACGATGGAAATAATCTGGCGGTAGTTTGGTCCTCCAACAAGCTTGCTCACAATTTGTGTTGTCGTGTCCTCTAAGCCCACAACGATCTCTTCTACCATGGGACTGCTTTTATCTTGGGATGATGATACTTCACTTGGACTTTCTGCAACTTGTAGGCTTCCAATTCTAACTTCACTTGACAATTCAATAATGTAATATTTAGCCTTCACTAGCACAATCTCAATCCTTTCTAACAGACCAAAAATTGCAAGATCCATTTTGGTGGTGGTAACAAGATCTGTGGTGAAAAAGAAAGAACGCAAGAAAAGTCCTGCTTCATTAAATACAGCTTCAATTTCTGTGAATATACTCTTCTTCCATATTTCCTCCAAGATTGGAATCGGATAAAAAAGAAACGCGAGCAGAAATTTCAACCCCTTCCGAAGAAATTCGAGTTGATTACTCACAAGAACGGTGGAATCCTTATGGCAACTAAGCAATTCTTGAATAGTTTCAAAAAGAAACACGACGAAGATTTCCCAATGTTTATCTAACATTAAATATTTTATGATGGGTGTTTCAATTGTGAAAAACCTTTTAAGATTTGGCATGGAAGCGAGAACGATTTCTAAAAAGTTTTTGTAATGTTCATTATCGTGATGAGAAAAGATCTCTTCGTATAAGATGCAATCGGAGGCCGAATCATCAAGATGCTTCAACAGATAATACAGATCGTAAATATAAAATGGTCCGTAGCCGTCTAAATGGTCGCGTTCAAATACTCCTTTTGCATATTTGAAAAAAATTAAAAAGTGTGGACCGAGCCATTGAAAGCTAACATTTTTTTCTCCTCCATCAAGCCTTAAAGGTAGCAAACGAGAAAGGAGATCTTGGCTTTTGACTAGACGAGACAGATTTTCGTAAGAGAGATCCTTCATAGTCGATTGGGACGGAAAGAAAGAAAAACACTCCATTTTTGGTTTGGGCAAGGGCAAAAGGCTGAGCAAAGAGAGAATAATGAGAGTGAATTTGTCTCATGAACCTCGGACTTCGGTCTTGAGTTTCTTGGTTTGCTGAAATGTAGTGCTAAATCTTTACCGGAGGTCCAAGTTTTTGTCTAATATTGCTTCAATATCCCTCTGGAGCTTTGCCTCAAAAACTGAAATAGCAGGATCTTTATAAATGAAGACGAACTTGATTTTTTCTTCTTCATTTGTAATGGGAAGATTGGCATCGTCATTCAATTCAAAATCATTATGTGTACCCAATTTTCCTTGAAGAAGGTTCAATTTTGGCGTAATTATCGAATTTTTGCATTCCTCTTAGCAATAGCACTCTTCAGTCCTCTCATTCACAATGCCGTCTCAAATTGCCCGTCCTTGTCTTTCTTCTTGTTGTCACCAAGTTTCCGCTTCACATCTTTGTAATTCCTGAAAATTGTAGTATATTCTATTAGCAGAATCTTCTCTGTCCTCTAGTCCATTCAAGAGCATCAACTACCAGTTTAGATCTTCTTTCTTCTTGTTAGGATTTATGTTGTATTGGCAATTCTGTAGACAAAATTAAGTCCAAGTTAAATTATGTTAGGAGTTTATTGAGTTGTGATTAAAGTCAAAAGAGTTGGAATTGGTAGTCCAAAATGTTCAAGAAGATCACATGTGATAAATGAAAATTTAATTAGAAGTCTAAAAAGTGTCAAAGAGTCGCATAAATTATGTTCCAAATTCTCAGTTGTAAATTGCAACGCATTGTTAACAAAGAAATCATTGGAATTTGGACAAAGGTGTCTAGAAGAATTGTATCCCTTTAAGTTAGCTTTCCAATGCATTTTGAATCAACTCAATCAGATATCGGTAGTGAAAGTTATGATGAAAATACTGCTCAAATGTCACTGGCTTGATGCTTGAGCGGCAGTATTACATGTTAACCCTAGTTCGTGTCTTTCAAAAATTTTATTTGGCCCATGCTACCTAATTACCTCATACTATAAATACCCAAACCTAACATGTTTTTTGGTGTGGTTGTTCATTATATTACTTCTTCATAATATCATTCCAAAATCCAAGAACACGTTCAAGCATTGAGATTAATCATTTAATTCTTGAGATCATTCAACCACAACTTTGGGAAAACACCAAATTTATGTAATCCAAAATACCAACTTTCTATACACATATAGGAAGGTACTTTTTCAATAACTTTCAGAGGCTGCTGAAGATTGAGAGAGGTTGGATCAGAAGTATAGGAAGAGTACAAGAATGAGGCATTTTTGGTGATCAACAGGAGATAGACAATTTCATAAGATCGGGAACATGTGTGAGTGAAGCATGTTCCAGTGGGTCGTGGGGATTGCATGAAATTTTCTAGACTGGATCGTACTGTAAATTCATCGTTGTTTATAGTTGAGTTTACTTATTTGGTCCCAAAATTTTTACCTAGTTGAGTTTTCTTCGTCAATAATCTTTTATGTTATTTACTACTTTTTGATTATTGTATGATTAACAATCTAGAAATAATTAAAAAGTGAGTTGTTGCTTTTGATTGATAATTTTAATTCTGCACCTATTCGCCCCCTCTAGGTGATCTTAGGGTCGAACTAGTAACTTTCAAGTGGTATCAGATCCTAAAATTGATCCTTGACCATATAGACTTATATGAGTTAACATTATCCATTCCTCATTATTTTGATGGTAGTACTATGCATATTAGAAGGTTAGAATAAGAGCCTTCCTTTAGTCTATGAATGAGCGTATTTGGTTGATTGTAGTAAATTGTTGGGCTGTCCCTTCTAGAACCGTTAATGGTGTTATCACCCTCACTCCTATTGTTAATTGGTCGAAATCTAATTTAGATAAGTGCAATTGGAGTGGTAAAGCCCTACATGCGTTATTTATTGTAGTGTCCTTAGAAGAATTTAGGCATATATCTATGTGTGTGGTTGCGAAAGAGGTTTGAGATATTTTACAGACCACACATGAGGGAAATCATTGTTCATGCAGGTATTTCTAGTTATTAATTCTCAATTAATTAAGATTCACATTCATTTAATCAATGTTTGTATTTATATATGCATTTCAGTGTTTTTATTTCTAATTATAAGTTAATTAGAGTTTCACGTTCAAGAATGAATTTCATTATTAACATCCGTGTATGCTAATTAGCAAAAAATTTCACTTAATTGAAAACTAAATTATATTCATTTAGTATAATTGATTTAAAATTCACTACTACATATATATATTCCCGATATTAATTCCAAATTAATTAACATCCACATTAATTAATGTATTGTATTTGCCATTTATCTTCATTTATGATTTATTTGTAATTCTAATATTCACATTCAAGTGTGCATTTCACGATTTACCTGCATGTATAAAATCAACTATTTAAATTTTATTCGCAAATTGGTTGTCATTTCATATCAGTCATCCAATATTTTGTTTTTCTTTCTAACACACCAACGGACTGGTTTTAGTCAAATTGAAGTTTGCAATGACAATAAAAAGGGTCCAAGGGTAGACAATACTCATGTCAGAGTATATATTCCACAACATGTATTCTTGTATGGACAGTTATACATTGCACTTTGACAAGTAATTTCTATAGCAACTACAAAGGTTTTAATTAAGTCAAATACTCCTAATCGTATATAAAATATAATGTTATAAAAAAAAGATTCTTATTGAATAAATTGATTTTTGTTAAATAATTTTCATATTCACACATTTTGAAGTATTATTTTCATGTCACTTACAAAGCATTTCAAAATAATGTGCAATTCACATTAAAAATCATGTTATCTTCTTTTTTCTTTTCTTTTTTCCTTGCAAGCTGGCCAAAAAACTCGGCAAAATCGTGTTCGATTCACCAGTTTCCGATTGAACCTAAATTTTATTGGATTATTACCGATTTTTTTTTATCTCTAGTTACAAGACAAAAAGCAAATTGATTACCCAAATAGTTATGGTTTTTCAAATTGATCGGTCTGGTTCGCGTTTGAAAATATTGCTTATAACGCTCGAAAATTACAATAGTAGAGAAATACATGAAAAGAAAATGAATAAAAGAAATTTACAAGTTAACAAATTCGAGACTGAGATGTAGAAACAACCATTTTTCAAATTATCCATAATATAATACAACTTGCTACCGAACCATTTTTTAATTTTGCTTGTAATAAAAATTCTTAACTTCACTTTCGCAATAAAGAAAAGACTATGAAATATAAAATAATTTAATCAAATAAATTAATAGAAATGTTTTTGTGTCAGGCCCAAAAAAAAAAAAAAGAGAGAGAGAGAGAAAGGAGGAAAAAAAAAGGTATGATGAACTTTGACTTACACCACGTACACTAGTAGAACAGAGTCTCTTTACTCCCTAAATGTATAGTCACTTCAAACTCTTACCATAATTGCGTTATTCTTTGCGAATTTGCCACAATAATATGCCTCAATCTCGTCTAGGGTAGTGTATAAATATAGCTAAATTCATAAGGAGTTGTCTCCAAATTCTTGCAAGATCTCAACACCAATCGTTCAAGTGCATGGATATGATCATTTGAGGAATTTCATTGTCCAAGATCATACACAATAAATCAAGGAATTTGAGTTTTTGGAACTCATTCCCTCAAAGAAGTCCAATCTAATTCCAGAATCTTAAGGTTGGGCAATGTCCTAATTAATGACATATTTTTCCATGGTAAACTAATTTTAAAAAGAGTGAGTTGACACGACACATCTCAAATCACCATAGTGGATCTGAAACGTGACGTGCGTCGAAAATAGATGTTGACTAGATGTCAAATCTATCACCAAGGCTGACTATGAGTTATTTCAAAAAATATATTAAAATCAAATGCTTATGTAAAACATAATGCGATGAGCCCAAATTATTTACTTCGTACTTCATCAATATGAGTTATAACGCTTAACATGTCGTATGGCTCTCATTCTGAAATCATTAAAGTCTTCTAACTAAAAAAGAATCAATTGCTACCTGTAGGAAAATTACGAAAAAATATATGAGTTGATTGCTCAGTGAGTGGAGAAGTTCGAAAATAATTATATTGTTTCAATTTTACTTTTTTATTGAAAATCGAATTCATATCATTGAATAATTCACATCATATAATTATAGTCAAAACATGAGACATCCACATAACGTCATAATATACATTTCAAATCATGATATAAACATGAGCTGATAATTATACTATAATCTCATCACATCAAATGTACTGAAAAAATCCACAAAAAATGTACCCTCTGACTGAAATATGTAATCCTCCGCTCGAGCTAAGAACTTTCGCCACGGGCCTTTGGCCCCTTTCGTGAATGAAAGCCGACATCAAGACCTCTCGTAATCAATTCTTGAACACAGTCAAGGCCTCTCTGTGAACTATATGCATATGTTCAAGACCAATACCAGGTCAAGATCCCTCCGTGTAGGATAAAACATGGCCAAGACCCCTCTACGTACTAGAAGAAATATATAACTTTTTTAGCTAATCTCAATATTACATATCTCACATACCAAATAAATCTCAATATCATATGTCTTACATACCAAATCACAAATGTGTCGTAAATAATTTTTGAGATATGTATCATAATAAAAGAGATTTCCATAATAATCATATAATGAACACATAATTGCACATACTTTAATAATATACTTAATTTATAAGTAATTTAAAAATATTTATATTTTTCCACTCACAGTATGTTCGCAAATCAACTCGGTTGGTAAGCTATCCCGAAATCCGTATCGCCTCCTGAAATATGATATAATTTTTAAATCAACAATTAATTATTTTAAATAATTTCAAAAATTAAATAGGCGATACCCAAACTTAATCATTTCACGTTTAAGTTATTTCTAAAGTCTCTTTAATCACTAAAACTAATTTTTCTTTCATTTAACTCAACTTCATAGCTTATTATACTTAACACTTTCAATAAAATTGAATTTA